ATTTTTGCATTGGGTTTGGAGGGTTACACAGCTCCTCTTTTGGACAAACTAGATACCTTAAAGCAAGTAATTAATCATGGTAACCGACTTACAATGCAAAAAAAATTCTTCCGAAATGAAACAACACAAAAAATAATGGCATCAGAAGATCCTGACTGTCGGACTCAAAAGATGACTCTTGGTTCGTAAGATATAAATTAGTTAGACTGAATCCTGTAAAACGTCTGCATGTAGTTCTTCCCTGATAATTAGCTGTTTGTAGAACGCTGCATAGGCGATTGGTTGTTTAATATTCAGAAACACAGCAACACTTTATGCTGTACTAGTGTGGTGTGGAGTGTATGCACAACTCCCCCAGAGACGGTTTAGCAGAGCTTCTCTATCTGCCCTCCAGCTAAAATGATTGAGCATTCTACGGCTAAGATTGCCCTGCAAGGATGATGGATTTAACGTGCACTGATGGGCTGTGCACTTACAGTTGCGTGTAAGTGTACACACAGCAGCAAGTGTAAGATGTTTATTTCTTGCAGAAATAAACACCTGGCAACAATGAGCACCCGTCTTGAGAGAAGCTCTAAAAAATAAAAGAAGCTGAGCAGAGATACACCAACATATCGTGAACCTCAATGTTTTCCACATGGCACAACATGGACTGTATGAGGCCTTAAACCCATTTATTCAAATTTGGGGGAAGTTTGGGAGAATGTGGCCAATTTATTATTTTGTTCCTTTATGGAGAAAATATTTTTCAGACTTTTCAGATTGTTCTAGTTACAATATTTGAACTCAAAGTTAAACACTTACTTAAAATGTCTAATTATTACTAATCAATGGGTTAAAATATATTTAAAAAAAACTGTAGAGTACTTTACTATATTTAATAACAATATCTTATAAATATAAATCTTTTTGTTAAGTTGTGTTCAACAAAATCTCCATGGGAAAAAACACATTTATTTTGTTTATTAAAATACAATTTCTCAAATCTATTTCACAAAATTTGCTTTTTTCATTCACGGATTTACTGAAACTGTATTACTTTACCTCCATTTGCTCTAGTCTGTTTTACAATAGTTTTATTTGATTCCCTTCTGAGTTTTTTTCAGATCTACTTTTCAGTTAAAACATCTAAAATGTCAGTTAAAAACATTTCGATGTTGAGCAGGTTTGGAACATTTCTGCAGAGCTCTGCGGAGAGAACAACTGTTTGATATGTCTGTAATGGGGAAGGAGAGCATGTAGGAGAGAGCTTTTTGTCAGCAGCATGACATGCACGGTACCAAACAGGGATGCAGTTCATTCAATCCTCTTGGCGATGGCTAGGTCCGTCATTTGCTCCACACGCTGTCTAGGTTCAATGTTCGTGGGAAATTTCAACGTTTCGTGAAATGTATCAATGTTTTAATTTTTGAGGAGTTCAACAAGAGGTTATTCACTGAACTCCCAGTCAGACTGAGCACATCGCTTCTGTAGGCAGTCAAAATGAATCCCACTGCAGGGTTTTCATCTGAAAACTTTATAACAAGATTTCCTGGGAATGCTGGAATCAAAATGCAAGAGTATAATGAGCAAATGAGGGGGTTGAGTATACCTAGCCCTGTGGGATACTGATATTGAAGCACTTTACCTATAACTCATTAAAACTAGTTTTTTTGTATCTGGCTGTAAGGTGGTGTTTATTCCCCAATTCATACCTGAGTTTTCTTTGTACTCCTGCTTCTTTCCACAGTCTAAAAACGTACATACGATTATCTGTGGCTTGAAATGTGAGAATTTTTGGTTGTTTGTACTCTGTTTTTTTTTTTTTTTGTTCTGTGATAATTTGGTGATCTGTGCAGGATGTACCTCGCCAAGCACATGCAGGTATACTGTACATGAGTAATAAAGGTGAAAGAAGTTATATAACAATGGAAGAATGGGAATAAATTAGAAGAGGAATAGGGAATAACTCCTGGAAGTACTGATATTTTCCTGTCACCTTTATTTCTTTTACCATACTTATCCTAATCTTAATATCAACTTAATATCATGAAATGCATTCCTCATCCGTCTTTGATATGTTTTTCTTAAAAAGGAAAGAATAAATGCATTTTGAGTTTAGAATCAAACTCATCCAAACTTTTTATTTTAAACCAAGGACCTGAAGATCTAACGGAGGAAGAAACGCTCTGCTTCCTGTCATCCCAGAGGAGAGAGACCTTTCAGAGCACTGGATTCACATCAATGTTTGAATATTCCCTAAATTACTCAGCAAATCGGCTCTGGCGGTGCTCATGTGTATGAATGAGAGGCTGTTTGCATTTCATGCAATCTCTGTGAAATGTGGGTGACTGAAGCGGTGACTGTGGGGAAGTGGGTGGGTGGCAGCAGCATTAATTACTTATAGACCTCCTGAAAGTGTTTGTGTGTATGCTAATTGCCTGCATGTGCAGAGCAGCGCAAGTATGTTCTCTCACATGTGTCAATCGGATAAATCTTTAAAAATCAGTCCGGGGGGTCGATATCAGCATAAGGCTGGGCTTCTCAAATTAGCTCAGATTACTCCCTGCTATTACCAATGCTGTGCTAATCGAAGGCAATTTGCATTTTGGCTGATGAGCAATTTTAAAAGCGTCGCCCTGATGTTGATGGAAGGGAGGCCAAAAGGAGCTGGGGAGAAGCAGCTGTGGGTGCACTATTAAAAATGGAGGCATGTGATGTTGCATGACGAATGAGATGGATAAAAGCTGACTTAAGAGCAAAGGGAGGAGAGAGGTGAGGACTGTTGTCGCTGTGGGAGCAGTTTTGGTACAGTTGTTTCCCTATAGGACCAACAAACTTCAGAAATGGGGCCTGCAGTAAACTTTGTGGCCTCGTGTGGCTTTCATTGCAAAACAGAAAAAAATTATGAAATAAGAAAAGAGAGGCAGGGGGGAGAAAGTTCAGGGGAAAGAAGAAATTAGCTTAGAAAAAAAAGGGAAAAATGCAAATAAATCCCTGGGGTGAGTTTATTGCAGTGGCATCTCTCTCACAGTGGCAGGGGGGTTAAAGAGGGTGCTCAGATCTGTGCAGCTCTGAAAAATCTCCAATTTGCTCAGGAATTTATAACTGATGCAGGACAGTGTTTGAGCAAATCTACCAGTTATTTGATGCTCAGATTAACGCTGTCCACCTAAAGTGATTGTAAATCAAGGACAATATTAATAAGAGAGGCAGCCATGGCACGTATTTTAACTCTGGAGGAGCTTAAAGGAATAGTACACCCAAAACATGATTAGCCTTCATTTTCTACTCACCTCCATGCTGAACAACACTCTGGAGTACTTTTTTGATATCTCAAATGCATCTGGAGATCTGGGAGGCTTCTTGCTGTCTGCTGACATTCAAATAATGGAGGTCTATGGCGCCCGAGACAGAAAGGTCCACAAAAGTCCACAAAAACTTGTCAATATTCCTCCATACTGCTCGTCCAATGTAATCCAAGTGTCCTGAGTGGGTAGCATCCAGAATTTACTCGAAACGAAGTCATTTAGAACGTTTTAGAGCCTAAACAGTAGTGTATAGGATTTCCTAATAGCGCCCCCATGCGCGCTCACGATTCTACGGAAGCCGGCAGACCAAACCAGCGCATTCAGCTCGGCAAAGAACTCATGCTCTTCCTCAACACTGAAGTCCTCAGACATTTTTCTTTCGTTGTTTCTTTCTTTGCACAGGTAAACAGAACATTTCTTCTTCTACGCTTGCATTATCGGCAGACCAGACGCTGAATGCGCACTTCCTTCCGGTTTGGTCTGCCGGCTTCCGTAGAATCGTGAGCGCGCATGGGGGCGCTATTAGGAAATCCTATACACTACTGTTTATGCTCTAAAAACATTCTAAATGACTTCGTTTCGAGTAAATTCTGGATGCTACCCACTCAGGACACTTGGAATACATTGGACGACCAGTATGGAGGAATATTGACACGTTTTTGTGGACTTTTATGGACCTTTCTGTCTCGGGTGCCATGGACCTCCATTATTTGAATGTCAGCAGTCAGCAAGAAGCCTCCCAGATCTCCAGATGCATTTGAGATATCAAAAAAGTACTCCAGAGTGTTGTTCAGCATGGAGGTGAGTAGAAAATGAAGGCTAATCATGTTTTGGTTGTACTATTCCTTTAAGAAATCCACAACTCGGGTGTTGCACAAAATGAATTTAGTAGTAAAAATTTGTAAAGTTGTAAAAATCATAGTGATATTGGAACCAAGTTGAGAGAGATAAATACAGGCAATTCAAAGCAAAACTCTGTTACAGGGTGAAGAAGAAAAGTGACTGGGGTGGAGATCCACCTTGCAGCAGGGGGATCATCATTAACACACAGCCAGAGATACGAAGGAAAGAATTGTCTAGTCAAAGTTCAGACCTAATTTTAATTCTGAATTTGAGGTTTTACATTACTGTTATGTCCCACGGCACGTAGTCTTACTTAGTTTGTGCAAATTTTTAAGTTCGTTTTGCAAATGTGGTACATTCCAAAAACTGTTAACTAATTTTAGAGCAAAAGGGGGGCTGGCTATGAACTTATGTCACACATTTTGAAAATTTTAATGCAAAAAAAAACATCCCTTTACTTTATTTATTCCAAATCCTGCAACAGCAAGGAAATTGTACATGCCCTATCCTCTAATCCAGTTGTTATAAGACACAGAACAGTGTGGAGTTGTCCAAATACAGCGCTACAGTATTTGACACAGGCTGAAGTAGGTGTTTTGCTCTGCAACACTTGAGAGGTTAAGCGTCTGGATTTACCGATACATTAACTGCTGAGATTGATCCTCCATTGCAGGGACGACAGCCTAAATGATCCCATCAATTTTTTGCCACAGCAGAGCTTGCTGGCCCCGACTGAATCAATTCAGTAACCTTTTCTGAAATCAAAAGGCGTTGAAAGTTGTGCGCGGCAGCAGCTCGAGAGGTTTTTTTCTTTGTAAAAGAATGACCGGTGTGTTTGCCTGTGTTCCTGCACACTTTCCCACTCACCAGCTCGATGAGCTCCTGGTAGCACACCTGTCCCTCCTCATTGCTGTGGACGAGTGCTAACAGCATGTCCAGTTTGGACGGGTCAAGCTGCAGTTCATGGTGCTCCACCAAGCTGGTGAAGTTCTCCACTGGGATGAAACCGGTGTTCTCTGGGTCCAACTGCAGAGAAAATATGTATAATTTAGCTACTGCAGCATTAAAACTTAGTCATGCTTGATATCGTCTCTTCTTTCTTTAACAAAAAGCTCTAGTCAGTTTATTACAGGCTCCCGTTAGAAGGCGATTAGTAAAAGACACCTGAGACGTCTAACAGAATAGGAGCTGTGACATGAGTATTAATTACTGTGGGATAAATTCATGTTTCCCAAGAAATATAGAAACAGAAGATCAGTCAGGCTGGGTGCTTGATGTTGGAAGGGGTAAAATCATAAAGACAGGTGTGCACTAACACAGCAACCTACAGTTTTCCCAGAGAACCCCCCCCTCCCCCGGATCAAACGAGAAGGTCTTTGTTTCTGATATGACGCATCATGTGCCTGCTTGGTTTCAGCTGCAGCTCGTTTTTCACTGAGGACCCCAAACACACGAGCTGTTCCTGCTGACTCCTTGTTATTGATCTGAGAAGCAGAGCGTCATAAAAATGATTGAGAGCTGCTCTCTAAATCAGAACTACTAGGTTAGAGAAATGGTCTCTTTTGCATGAAGAGAGATGCATTAATTAATCAGCTGGTTGAAAAAAAATATTCCCTTGATTGGCTCAATCTGAGGATCAGCAGGTTAAATATTAGAAAACAGAATGAAAGAAAAAGCATTAAAACATTTTATGCATTCATAAATGCAAAAAAGCTGAGATTTTTCGCAAAAATAAATTTTCCTTCGTTCTATGTTGAATTCAGATTTAAGTCCTCAGAGACCCAGTGTGTCAGGATGGCAGATGGAGTCAGTATGGAAGGTGCGGCACACAGTGGGCAGGTTTAAAATTTTTAATAGCACAAAAAAAACAAAAAAAAAACCAGAACAATTTCTAAAATTTCTACTAGACAGAAAAACTGATCCTGGATTTCCATCACAGAAGTCAACATTGTTTTTTTATTATACAAAAAAGCAGATTTTATTGGTAACATTGTTTAAATCTTACACCCATCAGCTTTTCATCCCTTCCAACCTAAACGGCTCTAGGTTCAAGAACCAAATCTGATCCTAAAATTTACTAGCTTCAGTTTTGCAAAGTTTATCTATAATAAAGTGCCTACCAGCATGTTACATAACATGCACACACTTTAAGAGAGACAGTACATGCAAAAGCTATTGACATCTCAAAATTGTGACGCAAAAGTTGATGAATGAATCTTCTGGAAGTTTGCATGTTTCCAAATAATGCAAAAAAAAAAAATAAAAATCAGTGCTACTGTGCATCCAGTATTCCTGATAAAGGTAGCACAACAAGTTCAGACAGCAGCTTCCTCACTGATGTCTGCACAGAGCATGTACAAAAATCTGCATGTTTCTTGAAAAAGCCTGATTTGTGCAACTCCAGGATCTATAGTTCTTTTTTGTAACATGATATTCATGCAGTGGCTTACTCTACATATTGTGTCAGTTTCTTCCCCCTTTCCTGTCCTAAATACAATTCAGAAGCTCTTCATCGATGCTCTAATTTCTTCTGCCAACTCTGCTTAGTACAGCATTAGTTAAAATGTGCTTAAGGGCAAACTAAGGATGTAACAAAGAGACTGCACAGGAGGAGTAATTGCTTCTTCTCATTTCAACAATTCCTGAAAGCAAGCGGCTTCCTTAGGCTTTGGTTAGTAAACTGGCAGCATACTGTTGCTCCTGGGTGAATCCAGCTTTCTGATGTAGCTTTAAAGCGAAGCCATTCTTGTTGGATGATCAACGGTTATGACATAGGGTGAAATCCCATCTGGTCTCACGTTGCTACTAACACAGTTGTCCCTGACATAGTCTGACAAGATAGCTGCATGAGAAGGACGGCATTAAGCTGTGCTGCACATCGTCCGGCTGAGCGGCACGAGGCCCAGAGCCTGAAGCTCCAGTGATCACACAAGGAGCCAAGATCAATCAGGAAGTCCCTTTGTGTGACTCAATGTGTTTGTGCATTGCTTCCTTTAGATATTTTTAGGGATAGTTTTGCATGTTTTTCAAACATGTATGTTCTAGAATTGGCTGAAAATAAAAAATATTTCTAGGCAATGAAACTGCATAAAAACTACACCTGCAAAAATATTCTCAAAAATTAAGGAAATAGCAAAAACTGCATGTCAAATGTCGGAATGAGATTCCTGGTTCATCTAGTTGATCTCTCCTGTTACATTTCCCTATTTTTTTGCATTTGTCTCCCCTCCAATCTCCACTTCAGATACATGACCTGTTACTTTATGTTGTTTCCTTTTTTTATATTGAATATCAGATATTACAGTTACTCCTAGAGACAGAAATGGCTGAAATCGACAGAAATTCCAGAAATACGTATTTGACAGATGCTGAAGCACATGTCAAACATAGATCATTAACATTTTAAGGAGTCAGTTACTACAGACCTTCAAACCCAAAGAGCCCTTTGGATAAACCTAAGAGGTTTGTATGAAGTTTAATGGTAGAGAATGGGTATCAACAACAAGCTGCACCCAAGCCATGTTCTCAGGAGTGACAAATCATGTCTTTTTTTTATATGGTGCATCACTGTACATAGTAAATATGCTATATTAAACATGGCTTTAGTGCAGAAGCCTTTGAGTTGTCAATATACCATGAATATGGACAATGCCTGGCACCAAATTCTGTTTCTAAATCTCTTGGCACCATTTCATATAGACATAGATGGTTGAGTTGGATTTGGAGTCCTAAGTTCGATTGGAGAGAAAACCTTTGGGATGAACAATATCATCTAACATCAGTGTCTGACCTCAGAAATGCTCTTCTGGTCAAAGATCCTATATTCACCCAGAGCCAAGAGCTGTATGAGAGCTAAGTCAGGCTTAGTTATCTGAGTCTGGCCTATTTTTTTTTATTTTCATTACCCAAACTGAGCCTGGTCAGGACCTGGTTGAGAGCTGACCAAGTTCTTTGTGACTTTGTGGTTGAATCAGGCATCAGGGGACAGATTAAGTGACAGAAAGGGTATTAGTACTGTAATTTGGCCAAAATGCATGGCGCCATCACAAATAGCAACAAGTTATAAACTGCATATCACAAAATGAATTCCATGCAATAAAATATAATCCGCTTTTTCATAGTTTTTTTACAGGAGCAAATACACTCACTGGCCACTCTATTAGCTACACCGTGCTAATACTGAATTGGACCCCATTTGCATACTTAACAGTCCTAATCCTTCATTGCGTCGAATCAACAAGGTAATGGAAACACTCTCTGAGAGTTTGGTTCATATTAAGATGATAGCATCACACAAATGCTGTAGATTTGTTGGCTGTGCCTCCATGATGCAAATCTTTAACTCCAACAGATCCCAAAGCTGATCTCTATTGGATTGAGATCTGGTGATTGTGACCGTTTGAGTTCAGCAAACTTATCGTTTTTCAAGAAGTCTGGGATGATTGGTACTTTATTACATGACATTATCTTACTGGATTGTATCAGTGTGGTCATAAAGGGATGGATGGTCAGCAGAAATACTGAGGTATTCTGAGGTATTGACACTATGCTCAATTAGTACTAAGGGACAAACGTGTGTCAAGGAAAAACTCCCCCTCACCATTTCACCACATGCAGCCTGGACCGTTAATGAAAGGCAGGATGGATCCATGCTTTCATGCTGTAGACACAAAATTCTGACCCTACGATCCGAATGTCGCAGCAAAAATCGAGACTCATCAGACCAGCCAATATTTTCCAATCTTCTACTGTCTAATTTGGTGAGCCTGTGCGAATTATAGCCTCAGTTTCCTGTTCTTAGCTGACAGCTACTATTGCTGCTTAGGATGGACGGCTTGTTGAAGTCTATGGATTAAGAACAGACTCTGACTCAAAGTCAGTGAAGGCAGATGAGGAAATTTTTTTAACCAAAATAAATGATAAGGGGTGAAAATCGTTCCTCTGGTGATTTCGCTTCAACTTTTTCTTCACTTTATGTTCTTTAAATCGGAAAATGTAAACAATTCTTGAGAAGTCACAGAAAAAATCCACTGCATATTTCCTGACAAAAAATCTTAACATTATTTTGGAATCTTAATACAGCCTAAAGTGCACATAAAGCCAAAGTAGTGGGTGAAATAGAACTGAGGTGGCAAAAAGCCCAAGGCTATTTTTAGATAATCCCTCTTTTACTCCAAGCTCTGTCAGTATTTGCTTAAAGAGGTCCCTGTTTTCCCCTCAGGGGAGCTGAGCAGCACGGCTCAGATATCTGCAGTGTGTTTAATACATGGCAGGCAACATGTGGGGAAAACGAGGCGAGAGGAGGCAGAAAATGGAGATGGGAAAAAAAGAGACAAAAATATAAGAAAATGGGTGTGGGAGGTTGGTGTGTTGATGAAAGAAATGAAAAAGGATAGCACTGGAGAAGATGGAGGAGAGGGTTGGGAACATGAGGGAAGAGGAAGAAAATGCCTCGCCGCTGATTCATATAAGGCTTGAACATTGGGCAGTGAATCCTCTTCTTCCCCTTTCTTATAAGTGGGCTGTGACACACTCCAGTGCTCTGGGTGCACTTCTCACAGGAGAAAAGGATCAGATTGTAGTATGCTCCTGGCTCTGTCCTGACCGGGGAAGTCTGACTACTGTCAGCCTCCATGTGTCAGTGTATCACTGCTCCTGCACACTCACACACACACACCTGCTTGACCTGGAGCTGCCATGCTGATCCTGCTGTTTACCCAGAGGACATCGTCTGTAGAAGGATACAAGGGGGTAAGGGATTGCTTCATGTAGCCAATTAGGATCGTCAATTACCGAGGTGATGAACATAGATGAATTAGAGCTGGCATGGGGCTCTTTTTTGACAGAGTGAAGCAAAGCAACATGAGGAAGAGGAGCAGGAAGAAGCTGGGGAAAAGCATTGAGAGGGAATGTTATTGAAGCAATCCAACACCGGTGAGGGCGACACTTTGACAAGCTCCATGTGTTGCTATGGTTACGGGTCGCCTGTATGTCACTCCCCTCCTTGCATTTCCTAATTTTTCTCT